AAAAACCATCTGTAGTGATTTAAGCCAATGCCTCAACGAGACGTGGGTCGAAGGAAGTATTCATAAGTACAGTGAAGTACAAACAGTATATGAAGAATTGAACACATTGAGGACCGCCATGATGGAAGAAATTGACACCTTGTTCACTTCCACATTTCTTGACACCCTCTCTGAGGAAATGGAGAGTCTGGGGGTCGTCAACCAGTCAGAGGGAAATGCTTTGCTGGGGTCTTCACTGGAAATGGGAAGGAGTACGGAAACATTTAGTGAAACACTTAATCCCATCGGCTCTCAGTTCAGCAGTTCGTCCGCGGTCAACATCGATGTCCCGTTGGGGGACGTCCAGCTGACCACTATAGACGTGTCAGACCTCAGATCCCAACTGGGGATTAGTTTAGGAGTCTGGAACATTAATCCACAACCACAGTCGCACCAAAACCCTCTGTCGGACGCGGCATCGCCCAACAGCTCGCTCCAGAATGACGACACGGATGACTGTCCAACGGTGAGTTTTAAAACCCTTTTTTTAATAATCACTTAACCCAAGCAAATTGATAATAGGATAATGGTTGGATATTATTATGTATTTATTTCAACAAGGACCATGCATACAAATACATTAATCTCAGAAAAGAGAAGAGATGAATTGTGCCAGATTTGAGCTAATAGCCAATTTCCATCTGCAGTCCTTAGGTAGGTACTTAACAATCAACAAACTGATCTGATCTATACCCACCACATACTACACTAAATTATGTGTACATGCTACACCAATCAATATCTGGAAGGGTTAAATAAAGGAAATGATTTGTGAAAACTGTTTCTAATATGCATTGTTCCCTATGTCTGATCAGAGCTTCCTGGTTGAGTCTCCGGTTTCTAGCACTGTCTCTCCTGGAGTATTATCCCTCGACCCATCCTTTTCCGAGTCCCCGCTCTCTACCCCCATATCTAGCATCACTTCAATTGTCGGGCGGAAAGAATGCGCAGGACGAAAGAAGGGGAAGAAGAAGAAGAAAGACCCCAACGAGCCTCGGAAGCCTGTGTCGGCCTACACTCTTTTCTTCAAGGACTCTCGGGCCGCTATCAAAGGACAAAACCCCAAAGCTACCTTTGGAGAAGTTTCTAAGATAGTGGCCTCCATGTGGGACAGTCTGGGGGAGGAGCAGAAACAGGTGAGAGGGGGAGGAGGAAAGTCCTTCAACTTCAATTGTGCTTATAGCTGTTACTACTACTAACCTTACCCATCAGTCCATCTTTCTAGCTGTTGAAGGGGTCATTTATGTTCACTGTGAACTGTGTGCTTCAGTTCAGGATCAATGGACAAAGATGTTCTGACCTGGAAGTATAAAGATGTCTTTAAAAGTATTCGTGGCAGACCAAATAACATTTGTAAAGATTAATTGCATGCCTGATTTCAGTGCATAATTTCCCCCTTTTTTCAGGTTTACAAGAGGAAAAACGGAGCAGCAAAGAAGGATTACTTGAAGGCGCTGACAGAGTACAGAGCCGGACAGATTTCTCAGGTGAGGTGCAGGTATTTTGTTTACAAAAACTATGACTTGATATATTCGTCAACAACCTTCTCTCTCTCCATGATTCCATTGCAATTAGATGTTGTCAAGGTTGAGCTCCAAGTGGTCTGCAGACATTCACTGATAGACGTCAGCCAGACAAGCAGAGATTCATGCAGCTAACTGGGTTTTAGACCGGGGAATAGACAGAATCATTTCAATGTCATCTGTGTAGCCGTGTTATGAAAAGCCATGATAATTAGTTTACGGAGAGAAGAGAAGGGGACCCAGGATGGGACCCTGAGGCACTCGTGAGTCATTTAGTTGGAGTTAAAGAAGCGTTCAAGTTAGAGCATTCTCTGTTAAGTATGAGTCAAGAGCAAAGAAGTCAGTCAGTCCAGTGACTGTAATGATTGAGGACCAAATATCAAGCACTTCTGCATGGTAAATTACGCTTTGCTGATGCCCTTACCAATGTTTATCAGTCAAATTAGTCCACCACACGTTTATCTGTTCGGTTAGTGTGTTAGCTTGGTTGTTAACGGTTGCGTGATGTTGTGTCCTCTCCATCCATCCTCTCATCAGGTCCCTACTGAAGTCACCCCCTCATCTCCACCGACAGCATCTTCAACTTTCATAGCAACATCAGCCTCCAACCACATCGACCAGACCACCAGGCCCCAGCAATACAACCCTGAGGAGAACACCATCACCAACATCTGCACCTCCAACATCATCCTAGACGTGCCTCAGGTCACAACGCGCTCACGCACTGGGGCTATCAAATCCCAACCTCCACCCTTTACCACCCCTCTGCCGAACCACCCAACCATCACCAAGATCATCATTAAGCAGATGAAGCTTCCTTCAGGTGTTGTGTGGATGACCGGCGCCTCACCGCCGCCACATCGGATAATGAAGAGCAACCCTCTTAAGTCGAAGGTGCAGCAGATATTGCACGTTCAGGCGCCTCCATCTCTGCGGGCAGAACCACAAGTTTCCACTTCCACTATTCTGATTCCGCTGCAGATCAAGGTGGTACCAATGTCGAAGCAGCCAATCATTGAGACCTCAGCAAGTGAATCGCCTACTTTGGGTTTGACTGTCCAGGTTGGACAGTTGGCTGGAGAGGCGGTAGTGGAGGCAGAAGACGGGGTAAGCTCAGCAGAAGAAACTGAACATGCTTGTTTCTATCTTCCCGATCATACAACTGTTGCATTACATGTCTTAAAGGTCACCTATTATGCAAAATCCACTTCTTCATGTCTCTTCTACATCAACACGTGTCCCCTCTTCTCCATGTCTCTTCTCCATGTCTCTTCTACATCAACATGTGTCCCCTCTTCTTCATGTCTCTTCTACATCAACATGTGTCCCCTCTTCTTCATGTCTCTTCTACATCAACATGTGTCCCCTCTTCTTCATGTCTCTTCTACATCAACATGTGTCCCCTCTGTGGAAAGAGACTCTGAAAGTTTCAGGAACAAAGATTCTCTCTCTTTTTGTCCTGATCCATTTCTATAAAAACCTGTCTGAAAATGAGCTGATCAGATTTTGGCCACTTTATGATGTCATAACGATGTTTTGGCTTGAGTAACCATTAGCCAATCAGCAACCAAGGTAACCCCCCCCCCCCCCCTTATCACCTGAATCTCCTCCTAGAGCACCATTGTGTTCTTTTTAACCAAATATCTCTCAGAGGGGCGTGGAGAGGGGCTACTTATTTTCATCTAAAGTAACAGACAGAGAATCAGCACTTTTGAAACAGGGCTGAAACAGAGGGGATTATGGGATGCTGCAATTATCTGTTTGGTGTTTGGAGGCAAACACTTCAGAGACATGTTTTTTATATATCTTAGACCTATAATAAAGTAATGAAAAACAGTATAATAGTGGACCTTTAATTGCTCTGGAGTGAACTGTTAAATGTTGTCTCGCAGATGGAGGTTGAGGTGAACGTTGCCCCTGTCCAGAGTTTGACTCCCTTCGCCAGCTGTAAAATTTGTGTGCGATCTGGCTGCACCAACCCCGCAGTAGAGAGCAAAGACTGGGACTACGAGTATTGCAGCAACGAGTGTGTCGCCACACACTGCAGGTGTGTACACTTGCAACATGCAAACCAGATCAGGAGTTTGTTGAAATTATGTTTGATTGACATCAAGTTTCTCATTAAAGTAGTGAGTTCCTGTAGTTGTGTTGTTTTATCGCAGGTTGTTTTTGTGTTCAACCATGCGAAGCTAGACGCTTTAAAGTCCTTAAATAACTTGTTGGCAGCTATTTAGCAGGTGTTTGGATTTGGTGAAGATTAAAACAGTCTGTATCTGTGTAATAACAACTAAATATTATTTTTTACATTTTATATCTACGTTACACCCTGCATACAGCATGTCATGTAAAAAATATTTTATGTTCCACAGTGATGAGTTCATGGCCTGGTGCGCCATCCGAGGACAAAACTCCACCATCGTCACATAGGAAGAGGACACAAGAGAATGACAAAGAATAAAACATGAAAATCAAAAGAGCAGAGCCATTAAATAAATGAATAATCAGGCTCAGGTTTCAAATGCTGTTTATTTCTGTGATCAACATTGTGCATAAACAGCTCCCCAGCAGAAAAATCACTGTTGGAAATACGGCAGTGGGAATAACGGATAAAAATAAGGACTTTACTCTCAATATAAAGCAGTAGAACAAACTTCCAAAGGATAACCTATTGTGTGTTTGAAATACAGACTTGACAAGAAGAATGTTTAATATGAAAAAAACTGTACCCTGTGAGACGAAATTCAGTAATTTGGTCTGTTTTGTTGTAAAAATCCTGTAAATGTTTTTGATTGTGCAAATACAATATTTTATGTTTTATTATACATGTGGTGATGCATATTTTGGCCCTTCAACTACAGCTCTATAGTTGCATTTATGTTCAAATCTGTGATACATTCAATATTTATAAGTTATAATAAGGAATACAAATCAATATGTTTTACTAGACGCGTAGAGTTGAGAATTCAAATGTATAGCATACCAAATAAATGTTCATCAATATGGCTTTTGATAACACAAAAAGGCAGAAAACACATGTGTTTGGTTTATCATCGTTGCAGTTTCTATCGCGAGATTAACGTCACGAGAAAGTATTTGATGACGATGGCGGGAAAAGCCACCATGGCGGGAAAAAGCAGCGTGGTCAACACCAGACAGGGGGCGCTGCTTCTCAGTGCAGAGCTACAAAAAACACTAAGATGCGCCACATTTCATCAAATAAATCCTCAAAGTAACAAAACTAAATGTCAGGAATTCCTCAGGCATTTAGACTTTTGCTTTTTCACTTTAACATTTCAGTAAGGAGCCAGTAAAAGGTGGCATTTTGTGCATATAGCGTTTTAGATCACGTTTGTTTATTATAATTGATATGTGAATAGTCGAAGGGGGAGGGAGAGGAAGAAGTGGAGGAAGGGAAAGCAGGAGGGGGGGCGGAGGAGTTAATTATACAGATTGGTGTGTGTGTGTATGGTTGTGAGTGTGGCAAATCGCCAAAATACATTATATTTTAATAATTTTGCGTATTTTTATCGATTAATAAGGGTTTTTGCGTTATGCTTTTTTTTTTTTTTACATAATTATTTAGAGGAAAAGGCCTCTGGTCGCACACAAATATAATACAAGGGAAGCACCAGCAGCAGCCTAGTATTGCGTGGATCTGTGCAGGCGTGGAAAAAGAAAAAGTGCGTTATTGTTAGTTGATCATCCTCATCCGGCCTGCTGAGAAGCGAAGCCGGGAGCTGGAGTTTGCAACTCAACCATGGCGGTAAACCTGGAAAAAGATGCTTACTACCGCCGGATCAAGAGATTATACATGAACTGGAAGGTAAAAATGAAGTGTTGGAGTCAAACCCTCTCCTGTGGTTAACTTTAACGTGGAGAAAGTACGCTTTGGAAGATGAGCTAACCGCGTTTTTCTGACTGTGTTGTCGGCTAAATCGGTGCCGTTTCCCGGCCTGCTTGTGGCACAAACAACCCGTCCTTCGGTTGCACGATTTCACTTTCTTCACTTCATTTTAAACTATTTTTTACGCTGCTTCACTGGTTTTCTATCAGACAAAAAGGGCTAACTAATGCTAACACACTTTCCATCCATATCCACCACGTTAGCTAGCATACTAGCCGAACAAATACATGTGTGTTGGACTAGTTTAACTAATAAACAGTGTTAAGGGGATCATATCAACATGATTTACCATGCAGACGTGCTTTAAATGTGGTCCTAAATCATTAAAGTCACTGTTAGCTTGTGTAATTTATATTTATGTCACTACATGCTAATGTTAGCTGGCTAGTGAGTTTACAGCCGAGCTAACAAACTAGCCGAACAGGTAAATGTGTGGTGAATAAACGTGGACTAATTTGACAAATAAACAGTGATGTGGTGACATTGAAACATGCCTTTCCATGCAATAGTGCTTCACATTGGGTCCTAAATAATTAAATTCACTGTCAGTTTGTGATTTTTAGTTATGTCACTACATGCTAATGTTAGCTGGCTAATTAGCATCAGAATAACGTCAGCATCCGAGTAACATGTGCAGGATGTCGGCAGCCTCTGGAAGTGACTTAATAGTTTAAGTGTTTTTTGTTTGCTACAGAAAACGATGTGTTTATTTTCAAGTCACAAACTTATTTTTAGAAGTTGTATCTTGATGTTTCATGAAGAGTTTTCACTTGATAGTGCAGCCACATCATGCAGTCTGATGCATTGTTCATTAAACAACGCCTCATGTGCAATGTAACTCTAATTTAAACACTTTTAAATACGCTTTGCATGACCGTTAACTCTATTGCGTGCTGCCAGGTGATGCAGCATCAGGTGCTGATGTGGCAGATGTGTTACAAATCAACTTTATACTGATGCTACCACACATAGCTTCATGTAACACATGACTCTTTGTCTAGCAGAGATGATTACTGTGAATGAAGTAAGAGCACCTCCAGTATAGATGACATGCATAACATTACATTAAGTGTGCTTTTATTGTTTTGTTTACCAGAAAGGAGAAGATGAGTTTGGAAAAGCTGATGCCATTGTGGTGTCTGTAGGAGTGGACGAGGAAATTGTGTACGCCAAATCCACAGCCATACAGGTGAGAGACAACAGGATTTTGCTCTCTTGACTTCCATATAGGGCCATAAGTTAAAGATATGTAAATATGCATGTTAAGAGTTATATGCATTAATTACCCAATCAAAGTCTGGTTTTAAGCACCAGTTTTGGTTCCTAAATAAATTAAATATTCACCGTAACGCTTTCTTTTCCCCCTCAGACATGGCTGTTTGGCTACGAGTTGACGGACACCATCATGGTGTTTTGCGACACCAAAATTATCTTTCTCGCCAGCAAGAAGAAGGTGGATTTCCTCAAACAGGTGGCTATAACTAAAGGCAACGAGAACGCCAACGGTGTGCCGCCCATCACCCTGCTCACCAGAGAAAAGGTAACCTGTTAAAGACACAGGTAACGGCTGAATACAAACCCCTCTTGGTACAATTACATGTAAACCATTTGAAGATGTGACTTGTTTGTGATTTGAGGCCGTTTGCTCTTGATGCACACTTTTATTATTCCCTCGTCTGAGTAATTCTAATGTATTGCTATTCTGTGTCACACGTCTCAGAATGAAAGCAACAAGGCTAACTTCGACAAGATGATCGAGGCGATCAAAGCCAGCAAAGAGGGAAAGACGGTGGGAATATTCAGCAAGGACAAATTCCCCGGAGAGTACATGAAGAGCTGGAACGAAACGATTAGCGCCGAGGGTCTGGAGAAGGTAAGACACGATCAAAAATGTCACTTTATAGATGAATTTTTTGTACCTCTTTTTGTTGTTAACACCTCTCTTTTTGCATGGCTTCCTGTCTGCAGGTAGACATCAGCGCTGTGGTTGCGTACACGATGGCGGTGAAGGAAGACGGAGAGCTGAACCTGATGAAGAAGGCGGCGTCCATCACCAGCGAGGTTTACTCCAAGTTCTTCAAGGAGCGCGTCATGGAGATCGTTGATGCCGACGAGGTGAGGAGAAGGCACCGTGGGTTATCTACAAACTGATGATTGAATAACCCTATTACTGTGCGATTGCTGGTAGCCTGTACTGGAATTACAGCAGATTTATGTGCCATACTTTGGCTCTGATTGTTGTTCCTACGATATTGAACCAGAAACACTTTTTTCAGCTCGTAAGAGAATCCAAGTGAGGAAAAAAAATCGTCACATCTACTAACTGCAAATCAATGTCGTACATCAAAAATATCCCAAGCTAGGTAAAAAAAATAATATATATATTTAAATAAACTTTATACTATGAATTAGTCTGATTTCAATTGTGAATAAGTTAACTTGTATAACAGTGCAAAATTAGCTAATTAAAAAATATATATATATATCAGCATCCTGGAACAATTTCTGCTTAGCATTAACATTGTGTCGTATCATGGCACATGTTTTTTGTATCCTGATTGAAGCTTTATTGAACCGTATACTCCTACATTTAGAGGTAATTTGTCTGGAGTTGTATAATGGGACATGGCTACTAATTTCTACAGGAAAAAACAAAATCCAGAGACTTCATTCCCCTCTTGTTTCCCCTCCCAACAGAAAGTGCGTCACAGTAAGCTGGCGGAGTCGGTGGAGAAGGCAATCGAGGAGAAGAAGTACCTGGGGGGTGCAGACCCTTCTACCGTGGAGATGTGTTACCCCCCCATCATCCAGAGCGGAGGAAACTACAGCCTTAAGTTCAGCGTCGTCAGGTAACAGACACACAGACGTGATTTTGGATAAAGCTGTTGTTAGAAATGTAACTTTTTTCATTTTGCCATATGTAGAGGGTTACTTTTTAACATTATTTAGTTTGCTTGAATTAAAAAGTTTGACTTCCTTAGAGTTGCAACTTGTGATTTTCTGTCAATTAGGCTCTCCATTTATTGTTTGGTCAAATACAATGGGGACAAATGCTCCTCTAGATTTCTATAAAACACCAAGAAGACGTTTACAAATAGCTTGTTTGTCAGGACAATAATTCAAAACAAAATCATATTTAGTTTATTGTCATATTACAAAAAGAAAAGCATGTACGTGGGACTAGGGAATGTTTGGTATTTCTACACGGACATTAAAATAAAATGGTTGAAGAAAATGTGTTATTTAAACTGTTACGGTAAAACAAAAAATGGAAAACACTGTTAATTAATTATTCTATAATTTGTAAAACTACAGTGTTAAAAACAACAATTTCCAAATAAAAAATTGTACAAGTTGAAGCGTTTTGTTTGAACAGTTTGCAGGAGGCAGAACAGAGCAAACAAACTTAGGAGTGTTTACGTGTTCGGTGTAATGACGTCCTCGACAACTTCTGTAGTCCTATTCAGCCACTTGTTAACAACCATCGTTTTTCAGACACGTGAACTCTTCAGAAATCACCAGTGGGGTCACTGCTGATGGATTTAATGTCGTAGAACAAAACGTGATCCGTCTCTTAAATGTGTTTCAACCACAGACCTTATTTCCAGCTATTTTCCAAAATGTTATGGAGAGATCCCATTGGCTCTGAGACGAGGGAACCGGTAGTGGTGACATGCCGACTCACTTCTGGGTTTTAGGACTCGTCACTGCACCACTCTCTACGGTCATTGAATGTTACCCTGGTCATCGTTTTAACAAACACTTCTCCCTTTTCTGTTCCAGCGACAAGAACCACATGCACTTCGGTGCCATCACGTGTGCCATGGGGATCCGCTACAAGTCGTACTGCTCCAACCTGGTGCGCACCCTCATGGTCGACCCCCCCCAGGAGATGCAGGACAACTACAACTTCCTGCTGCTGGTGGAGGAGGAGCTGCTCAAACACCTCAAACACGGTGAGTCCAGCCGATATATTCCTGCACTTTATATTGAAGTATGAATGCTTGTTTGTATGTTGTCTTCTCCTGAATGTTGCACGTCTCTTGTTTGGTTTTCTGTATTTTCGATGACACCTTAAAAAAAGGAGTAGCTCTAGATCTCGTATAATGACAATAAAGGATTTTAATCTATTCTATTCAGGGCCAGAAAAGTTCAATTATTCATTATTGTGTAGAGCAGTGTTTCTCAAACCTTTTCATACCACGGACCACTTAACCAATAAAAAAACACTCGCGGACCACCTAACTCCACAAATATCAAAAAACACATCGTTTTTTACAAATCGCCTGAAAATGGTACAAAAAAGTGGCCACATGTGTGATGAAGGTGTTTATCTGGCCTATATCATGCAATTAAAAGTGAAACCTAAGCTCGCTCCATTGCGGAGATATTCCCGCGAGAGTGCGGAAAACTTAATTTATTTCAAATGTTACCAATATACTCACGGACCTCCACTGGACCACACTTTGAGAAGCACTGGTGTAGAGTATTCTCGGGATTCATAGCTTTTTAAGGCGAATGCATGCCCATGGCAGCTTTTAGGAGCAGAAGGACATGTTTTTATAATGCTTTTTTAAATTCAAACAACTGCACGAACCTTAAATGCTGTCAAAAACAACAACGAAAGGCATCAAAATCCTCATATTTAAATAAGTAAAATCTAAAAATGTGGCTTTTTTTTGCTTGAAAATGGCTTGAAATGTCTCTCGATTATCAGATATGCGGTGTTTAAACAGGACAGAAATCAACTCGCAGCTCTAGGACGAAGTAGGGCTGCTCGATTATGGCAAAAATCATAATCTCGATTATTTGGGTCAATAATTGATATCACGATTATTAAAAACGATTATCCATTTACTTTGAAAACATCCATTTATAGACTTTTTTTTTTGGAACAATATGTTTTTAACAGTTGATTACTGAAAGTATAATTCAACTGAAAAACCAATTTAAAGAAATTTAAAAAAAAATTAATAATAAAAAAAAAATATCGATTACGTTGTTTTCGTAATCGTTGCAAGCCATAATCGTAATTGCGATTTAAAATACGATTAATTGAGCAGCCCTAGGTCAAAGTGTTGCTGTAACTTAAATATTGTCAAAAACAACAAAGAAAGGCATCAAAACCCTCATTTTTAAACAAGTCCAATCTAAAATATTCGTCTTTTTGCTTGAAAACTGATTAAAGTGTCTCTCCATTATCAGAAATGTTTCGTTTAAGCAGAACAGAAATCAACTCACAGCTCTAGAACAAAAGTGTTGCTGTATGAAATTGCAATTTTTGGCGTGTTTTTCTGTTTCATAAACTTCTTTCTCTCCACAGGTGTGAAAATCAGCGACGCCTACAACGCCGCTCAGGACTACGTGAAGAAGGAGAAGTCGGAACTCGTGGCAAAGCTGACCAAAAACCTCGGGTAAAGGCACATCAATTACATATTTCTTCCCCAAATGTGGACACACACACACACACACTCAGTTTTCTCACATCTTCATTTGTTGTTGTTTGTAGCTTTGCAATGGGAATCGAGTTCAGAGAAGGCTCCTTGGTTCTGAACGCCAAAAACCAATACAAACTGAAAAAAGGTGAATATTTTGCACCTTCAGATTTAGAATCGTTATGTTTCATCGCTCAAAGCCCTTTAAAAAAGGTTAAATACATTAAGAAAATGTTCGAAAATGTGTGTTTCTGTGTCCTCCAGGCATGGTGTTGAGCATCAGTTTGGGTTTCGCTGACCTCGTGAACAAAGAAGCCAAGAAGGACGAGCAGAAAAAGTACGCCTTGTTTATCGGCGACACAATACAGATCAACGAGGTAAGACTACCCTCCTGCCGAGAAGTCTCAAAGACGGCAAACTTATTCACATATTAATCACAACCCTAAAATATGTTGTAATAGGAGGACGCCGCCACGATACTCACGCCCGTGAAGAAAAAGATCAAAAATGTGGGAATCTTCTTGAAGGTACGTGTCTTTTTAATCCCTAAAGTCACATGATCACGCAAATGTTTCAAATGATCGTGTGTGTGTATTTGGTAAGAGAGAGTTAGCAGTAAGGAAAGCCAGTGCTAAAAAGATGAACTTCCTTCCTGTCTGAGCGATAACACACACACACACACACACACACACACACACACACACACACACACACACACACCGCTCTCTACTACTTGAGGGCAGTGCTCACAGATCAGGCGGATCAGAAGGTTCCATGTGAATCACACACACACACACACTAGGGCTGCTCAATTAATTGCAATTACGATGATGGCTTGCAACGATTAAGAAAACAACGTAATCGAAATAAAACGATTATTTTATTTTTTATTTTTTTTTCAGTTGAGTTACACTTAAAGTTCAACTGTTAAAAACATACTGTTCAAAAAAGATTTCTCCAATAGATTGATGTTTTCAAAGTAAATGGATAATCGTTTTTAATAATTGTGATATCAATTATTGACCCAAATAATCGAAATTATGATTTTTGCCATAATCGAGCAGCCCCACACACACACACACACACACACACACACACACACTCCTGTCTAGAAGCAGGGCAGCCTGGGAGTTGAAAATAAAGAATAGATAGGTACTGTGTGAACTGCGGAAAAGGAAAATGTGTTTGACTCTCCTGCTCAGTGTACTATATTGATATAATTTGATAAAGGATGTGTTGAGTTTGTATTAACAGTGTAATGCAGGAACACAAATCTATTAAGGCAAATTGGAGCAGATCAGAAACGAAGCGTTTTCTAAAATAAGAGAAAATGTACTTATAGCTGTCTCTAATATAAGCCTGCTTCCAATGAAGGTCTCTGCAGTAGGGTTCACTTAAAGGGGCCATGCTTTTTCCCCTTCCTGTAGTGTGTTTTTATTTAGGTTTTTGTGCATGTCGGCAAAGGCTAAAATCTCACAGAGCTTCTCTCCACATATAGAAGTTCTGCAGAACAGGCAGTACGAGGAAAATAGAGCTTTTTGAACATGGAGACACGTCACGGTAGAGACACTACATACATACAAGAATAAAAAAAAAATGATCCCCCTTTAAGGCTTCTACGAGTATTTGAGAGTTGACTGTAAATAAAAGTCCACTTTATGTTTTGTTATAGGATCAATAAGCCTGCTGCCATCCCCCCCGCTGTATCCTGCTGTTACTTTTTCTTTGCTTTTAATTATTAAATAAATATCTATTTTCATGATTTTGTAAAAACCCAGATTTCTTGTAATTTCCACATTTGGTGTTGAACATTTTTCTGTTTTCTCGTGCTCTCCAGAACGACGATGAGGAGGATGAGGAGGAGGAAGGAGACGATGCAGAGGAGCTGCTGGGAAAAGGAGCTCGCAGCGCCGCCCTGCTGGCAGACAGGACCAGAGTAAGTGTGTGTGTGTGTGTGTGTGTGCCACTCGTGATCAGTTTATTTGGCACCTTTTTTTTAAAAATATTTTTTATTTGCATACGAAAATGAACAGTTACAGACCATCTTAATTTTTTTTGAAATAATACAAAGCAAATAATGTGAATCACGCATACAGACAAACAAACATGAGAAGACAGACACAGAGAACCAGGGGGTTACATTACAAATATAGTTTTTGTTGAAGTCTGATCTATACGGGTTGACAAACTCAATCCATCCCTTCCAACACTTGTCAAATGTTTTTCCATAACTAAAATGTTATTTGGCACCTTTTTACAGAGTGTTTATAACTAAGGGTGTGAATGTTTTTGTACCTTACCAGCTACTTGGGAAGGTAAGTATTTAATGCTTTTTTGTCTAAAATCTCATCTGGTTTATTTCTAAGATTCCACTTACTGATGGGGGGAAAAGAAATACGCCTTTTTTGTCATTTTTCCTTCTTTGAGTGAGTTGTTTTTTGTGTGCCTTGTAAGCCGTGTAACACATGTTCACATTCTGCATGTGTGTTATTCTTTTTCTTTTCTCCCATCCTGTGTTCAAATTCCTGTTTTTTTTTTTCTCTTCGGAGCGCCATCACTCATTTCTTTCTGTTGTCGAACCTCAGAACGAGATGACGGCGGAGGAGAAGAGGCGAGCCCACCAGAGGGAGCTGGCCAACAATTTGAACGAAGAAGCAAAGCGGCGTCTGACGGAGCAGAAAGGAGAGCAGGAGATTCAGAAGTGAGTGTTAAAGCAAATCACGTTTTATTTATACAGCACATTTTTAAAACGATTTTTGGTCGAGCCAAAGTGCTGTACATATAATAAAAATACTTTACAATAAAAACACTTTACAACAGCACAAATAAAAGCTCTGGCTGGGGTGTAGCGATGGAGGACCTCAAAGTTCATTAGACTACAGACACATGTATCTCTGTCATTGATCCAATTAAACGCAAGCTGTTCAAAGTCAATCTTCCAGTTTGTGTGTACAGACGGAGAGATCAAAATACCGTTTCCCACAATCCCGAATATAAAAAAAAAAAAAACGTGTGCAAATATGTATACAGAATTAAAGACACATTTGTACATGTGCACACATTAAGACCGAAAGACCTGTTCCTCCATATATGAGAAAAGGACCTAGATCTTAAAATTATCAAATGACATTTAGGCAACACACTTGGAAACAAGCACATGTTTTTTAAATTGGGACTTTTGAGAACGGTAAGCTTTATAAAATGGAGACCTTTTTTGTTTTAGCTTTTCCTAGCCTTTGTTCTGTGTGTTTTGTTATCATACACAACTAGCACCGTTCAAAAAACATACACGCTTCTGTTCAGGTTTGTGAATGAAGCATTACATGTTTGTCAGTAGATTTCTGATACTGTCATTTCAAAAAATTACGTTTTAGTTTTTGAAACCCGTTGAAAATGAGACATCAGCATTTATTATACTAACCATTAATTTAACGATTTAAAAAAATCTAATTTATTATTATATCAGAGTATTGAAAGTTGTTGGATCCATGTTAATGTGGCTCAACCCTCTTTGACTCAGATCAGTATTTCTGTAATTATAAGTTTAATAAGTGCTTGAATATCTATACTACTTGGATGGTGCTCAAACACAGCAGGGAGCAGCCATGGATTCCCACATGTGATGAAGTGACTTGTCTTTCATTGAGTCTTCTCTCTTCTCCTCTCCAGGGCCAGGAAGTCCAACGTGTCCTATAAGAACGTCTCTCAGATGCCCAGAGAAAAGGACATCAGAGACATGAAGATCTTCATCGACAAGAAGTACGAGACCGTCGTTATGCCCGTCTTTGGGATCGCGACGCCGTTCCACATCGCCACCATCAAGGTAAACTGAGACGATCCTCACCTGAACACCAGCGTTTGGTTTATTCGCCTCGTTATCTTCTGTGGAGGAAGTTCTTAAGAGCAGTTAAGACCCAGAACACAGCTCACAGTCACACTATAAAGTGGAGAATAGCCAACTGGTCCCACCCTTAAATTTTCTTCTAAATCAGTCGTTCCCAACCTATTTTGTCTCGTGTACCCCTTGAACTGGTCGCCATTCACTCGTGTGATCATTCGCCTACATATGTTCGTGTATAAAACCCTTTGTGATCGTGTTTAACCCCACTGCTCCTAAACGAAAATCACTTGTAGAACTCACATTCAATACAAATGCATTTCAACCTACACTTTTTGTCAGATAAAAAAATATTGTGTTAAAACTCATTACTTAAAGGGGACCTATCATGCAAAATGCACTTTGTGATATCTTTTATACATATACATGTGTCCCCTGTGTGTCAGGGAACTCACGCAGCGTCAGAAAATAAAACCCTCTCTCTTTTCCTCCGTACCCAAATCTCTAAAAACGGGGGACAGCGGAGCTGATCCAGATTTGCGTCCGATATGACGTAATATCTGAAATGTGGACCCACGGCCCTATCAGAAACGTTGCTATCAGAAACAATGCCCGACTGTTTTGGACGTAATATGGTCGGTGTTCACATTAGCATCGCTAACACTCAGAGCTAACCTGTACTGGAGAGCATGTGTGTGAAGAAGCAGGAAATAAAAAGGAACTCACCTTGTGGTATAACCGGCAAGAGAGAAAGCCTTTGAGCTCCATACTGTTTCAGAAACAATCCTTGATAATTCATGATATGGCGTTTCATCACGGCAGTATTTAGTTTAGACAGTAGCTGCCGGGTCCCGCGTGAGCGCTTTATGCCCCAAATCAGCACTTTTGAAACAGGAAGTGAAATAGAGGGATATGAGGCGTGGCTAGAATCGGTGATCTGTTTGGTATTTTGAGCAAAACACTTCATAGACATGTTTTTCATGTATTTTATTTATCTGAGACCTATGCTATTGCCTAGA